CATACAAGTGGAGGAAAAGCAGTGTTGGTCAATTGCCCAAATTCAGCCTGGGAACCACTAGTCTGCAGATCTGACTTTAGAGAAACAGATTGCTCAGAGGCACCAACATACATGAATTCTTATCATTCAAAATATGGTTTTCTTGCTATTATATTAAAATAGGCCCAAGTCAGTCTCTGGCTCACACTGTCTCTATGATTATTATTATTGTTAATGTAAGTTGGCAGCATTTATAAATGACAGAGCCATGGACAGGCCACTCATAACCAGGGTTTATAAGATACAATGTTGGTGCATTTTTTGCTCATGCTGTTCTCATTTAAAGTAGATTCTTGTTCTAGGAAAATAAGATCGTGGGAAAGAGTGGTGCTTCCTAATATCCAGGATTGCAATAAAACACGTCTTTTGCCTGGTGGTTTTCAGTTAATGCCACACATGGTTTGTAATGAGGGAGAATTTGTGATTGTTATTTCAACCACATATGTTACATCCCAATAAGTATGATTGAATTGAAAACTTTAAAAATCCCCTTAACTTGGTAAAAATTAGCTCTTTTCCCTTATGTTTCTGCTCCCATTGATACAAGATAAAAGAGAAAGTACAGACCCAAAACAGTGGCTTTTAAGTATCAACAGCAACAATCACAAAAGAAACCAGTAATTGATAATGTAGTGATATGTATTACAACTATTTTTCCCAGGAGCATAATACAGGTGTAGTTTTTAATCTTGAGAAAAATAGTCAGCTTCTTTATTTTAACAACACATGCAAAAACTAATCTACAAAGAAAGAAATGGCTAAGTTTTCTTTTTATTTATTTTTCTTTCGATTTTTTGGGGGAAGAACACACACCAAAAAGCAGGAAGTATAATATAGAAAGCCAATATACAGGCCACCAAAAAAGTGTTAACACTTGTCCAAATTTGCTCAGGAATTTTTTAGGAAAAATGAAGCATTGCAGATAAAGTGTTACTTCCCTTTACTCCACTCTCTTCTTTCCAATAAGCCAGTACTATGAGGACGTTATCAGGAATCCTTCCAGTGTGCCTTTTCAGAATTTTACAATATGTATGTAGATAGATATAGATAGATAGATAGATAGATAGATAGATACATGGCCATATGTATACTATTATAAGGTAGGCTATTAATAATGTTATTTTGTACATTTTGAAATGTTAAATGGTATTATATGCAACCTGATTTTCTCAGTCAAGGTATATTTTTTGGTATTTATCTATATGAACTGGATCTTAATATATACAGATCTAGTTCAGCCATTTTAAGTTCTTTATACTATTGCGTTGAATAAGTAAGCCACTATTTATTCTTCTGATGATACTCAACATTCACTATTATGAACAGTGCAACAGAGAATGCCCTTGAACTTGTCTCCTCAGGCACATGTATCAGAGTTTCATTGGAGTAACTTTCTAGATGTGAAATTGTTGAGTCATTTTCAACTCAAAATTTTGGTTGTTTATGTTCATTCAGGATAAAATCCAGTTTTCATCAAAACTGTGCTGAAGTCAAGCATTCTTTCAGAACAGATCTTTCCCTAATCTAAATCTAAATCTAACTCTTTGCCTTCATTCTCACTATTTGAATGAATAAAATTTCTCACCTTTCACACATACATAGGTCCTAAGGGGATTGTCTAAACACTTTGTATATGGCTTCTAATATTTTTCTGCTTATTTAAAATCTTCTGAAAGGTAATAAATACAAAATAACTCTTGGTTTTGGCATTAATTTGTCTCCTTAAAATCCTTACATTTTTACACCTATTCAGTATTGAATTTCAAATTTTCCTTTAGTGTCACACAAATGTAGATGTTAATGCAACCTCGAAGAGCTTCCTGAACTTGAAATTGTTGCTGCTACTCTAGACTGAAACCGGTTGGAACATTTCCCCTTTCACGTAGGAGGCAGAACATCAGCCCCTTTCTGGTACAGTAGATGGGTAAGGCACAGTGTCCTTGTATGCTTTAGTTACATGCAGAATTTTACCCCCTTCTTCTTCTTTTTTTTTTAAACTGAGCTCTTCAATGGAAACAAAGTTGAGCTGGTGATGGAGAATAATGATAGGGCCCAAATTAGTACCTAGAACCTTTTTGAGACGTCGTCCTTAATTCCCATTTAGCACTCACATTTGGGTGTTTTCCCAATATTATTCTCCTTTAACTAGAGGAATGAACAGAAATAGGCATCAGTGCCTTCTGGTCCATTGTTTCTCTTACACTGAGTTTAAATGTTAACTCTTAACAGATATGGCCCAAGATGATCTTGAGCCCAATGCAGAAGCACACGTGTTTGGCCTCTCTGCGTAACTGATAGGAGGTGCTGGCCACAAGAGCAGGATGAGCTCCCACCTACTGTGAATAAACTTTGTTATGACTTGAGGTTTTATGACATTTATGAAGCTTTTTATTTGGGGGAGAGTTGGGTGATATGGAGGTCATCAGGTTTTTGTTCCGAAAGATCACTCTGGCTACATTTAGAGAAGAGGTTGGAAGAGGCCTGGAGAAGCTGTAGAGAGATCAGTTAAGAGACTATTGCAATACTTTTGTGAGCAAGGAGGCTAACTGGGGAGGGAGAGATGGATGCACCTGGAAAGTTTAAGAGGCAAATCCAACCGGCTTTGGTGATAGCTGGGCTCTGGGGGCTGAGGGCAGGAAGAGGATCAATCAAGATCAAATGAGTTTCCTCAACTCTGATTGGCTGCACGATTATGGGCTCTAATTAGGTGTACGGGATTTTCATCACAGCTTCCTGTGAAATAGTTTAATATCAGTATTAGCTGAAGCTAGGGAGGCTCAACCTCCCGCCATGTTCTACATTGTGTGATATTTGTAAGAAGTCTGACCAAGCAGCTGTCTACTTTTCTTTAAGGCAAGTAGCAGTTTCATTGGACAGACAAAAGTTGTAGGATTCCTGTAGTCACAATATGCTTAATTTAAGGAAATTAATGTTGAAACAAGAGTGTAGGAGGAAACACTTTTTATGCTCTATTTATTTGCAAGACTGATTGGCTAGTGTCTGGTGTTCAGATGAGCTAACACAGAAGGTAGCATCCACTACATATAAATGTTGAGAGTTTTCCTTGCTGGGATGTTGGCTAGAAGCACAAAAGAGAATTGCATTTCTCAAAATGCTTCATAATTATTTTCACCAGCAGTTCTCTTGGAAGGCTTGTTTGTTCATGGGGAAAGGACAGGGCAGAGGGCTGGGCCATCAACATTTTTGGCTCCATAATAGATAAACAGTGGCGTTTAAGGAACTGATGGCCTTGTTCAGTGTTCATGGGCTGTCAACAGCAGGCTCGGGGTTGAGACCTTCAATCTTTGAACCAGCTTCTTAAAACAAAATCAAAACAAACCAAAACAAGAACAATAAAATAACTACAGTGCCATCTAACCTAAATACCAAGTCTGTCGTCAGATTGCTCATGCAGCAGATGTATCCACCCCCCCGAAATGATTCCATTCTCTGCCATCATCCCCAAACCAGGAATTTAAAGAAGTTATTAATCTAAAATATAATGTAATGATGTATTCATTCTTCTTGGCTATAATGATTATCAGCTGGGACCACTCTGGCATCTGATGCCATCATAACTTCTCAAACAATTGTCTTTATTAGATTGGTGTCTATCTTTTATTTGTGAGGGTTAATGGAACAGTTGGGGTGGAAAACTGAGTTCAAGAAAAGAAAAAAAACCAGCTGTTTTAAAATGGTGATTAAAAAAAAAGGGGGGGGCTGTCATCACTAAGCCCTTTGGCCCCCACAATAGAAATACTGAGCTAAATTAATGTGAATGACCATAGTAATTTTAAGACCCAAATGTAACCAGTGAGGCTCTCTGTAAGACTTATTCTCTATGACTGTTTAGGAAGAAGTGGAAAGCTGATTAGCAAGAGTAAAAGACATGATTTCTTAGGATGCTCTGGGCATGCTCTGTCAGATCCCACCACTGATTTTATTGGAAAAGGTCCAGTTTCACAATGGTCCTTCTGAGAATTGTACCACTTCCTGGATTCTCCTTGGACAGGGAATGACCTAGAATTGCTGTGCATATGTAACCCCTGATCTCCTGCTCCTGTAGGGACCACATCCTCCCAGGTGCCCAGGGCTGACCTGGCTCCTGGAAGCTGCCTGCCTCTGCTGTCGGCACTGACTCCACCTGTGCCTGGCTGGCTACTTGTTTTGCATAAGACCTTTTTGTCCCATGCTGATTGCCTGGTTTGAAGCAGATTTCATTTCTTTGAATGCAGTGTTGAAAGAAAATCTGTTTGAGATGACCCAAGGCAATTGTTACTAGACCAACCTCAGTTACGACGTTTGAATCCATAGAAAACAGTATTTTTTTCCTTTTCGAGGGTCTCTCTTTTTTGATGACTCCTCTCCTAATAGTTTCAGGTCCGGACAGTTGCAGTCCTACATCTTCTTCGAGGTGAGAGTCCATTTATTTCATCCACATCAGAGTCTATTTGACCAGGGCTGGTACAGCTCCCTCACTCTCCACCTGCCTCCTGTTGGGTGTCGCCCAGCTTGCAGGGCAGACGATTGCTGCCTTCGGACAGTTGTGTGCTGGAGCCTGGAGGCCTGCAGTGTGGATGTTCCAGCCGTGTCCGTGTGGCCTCTCCTTTCAGCTGGCTTTGTTTATCCAGCAGCTCATTACTTAAGAGAAGCCTGTCAAAATAGGTTAAATATCCTTTGGGAAACATGGTCCCTTACATCCTTGAGATACCACAAATATGTTTAATACAGGGAAGATTGGCTTGATAAGAAGAGTGTGATTGACTTGCATCACTGAAAAATATTTCCCTGTTATTCCGGTTGAGTTTCCATGAGCATCAATAAGCACTAGCAAAGCGAAGGACAATAAATTTCTGCAGCCGACACATAAAGACACCAAGGGAAGCAGGGAAAATGATTGCTGATGATTCATTCTAACTACTTGACCTTCTGACCTCTTCTCTAGATATATGACCAAGATGGGACACTACAGCACTTTATTGATGGTGGGGAACCTAGTAAGTCGAGCTGGATGAGGTATATCCGATGTGCAAGGCACTGCGGAGAGCAGAATCTAACAGTAGTTCAGTACAGGTAAAGTATACCTCGATTTCCCACTTACGGAGCGGAGGCCCTTGGGCTTGCATATACGAATTCAGGCTTGCTGCTAGTTTTGAAACAATTCTGCAGGGCTTTTTGCAGGACCTCTGCAAGGACTGGCAGAAATTATTTATTTATTGCTAGGTTTCTGAAACCTTAGTTCTTGCAGCAGTAATTGCATGAGAATTCAAGAATAAAGATCCTAGTAGAAGGCCTCTTTCACTCAGTGCATGTGGTACAGTCATTTCCACATCCTCACCTGAACTTCCACGTTGGCTGGATGAGCCCAGCACACCCGTTGATGGGCGCACACACAGAGACGTGCAGATCCAGCCCCAGACCCCTCGCTTTCAGTCGCCTTCAGGCCTTCTCCCCGGAGGAACAGTTTCATTTGCACAAAGGCCTGGGAAACCAAGGTCCCTCAGCCTTCCCAAGGCTGCTTTTCCAAACCCGTTATGCTCAGCAGCAGCACCTGAGCCAGAGTGACCTCTCCTGAGCCCTGGAAAGGGGCCAGCCCGTTGGACTTTGGTCCTTGGACGATTCAGAATGTGTTTCAGGAGGTGAGGCGGTTCCAGAGCACAGGGAAGCCCCTGCTTTCCGAGCTGTTTGCCCAAAGACAAGGTGGAGCCACCTCCATTTCTCAGAGTCTCACAGGGGAGCCTCTGGGGTGGGGTGGGGGAGGGGGAGACTGAGAAGCAGATGCTGAGCCACATCTGCTCAGTGCACCTGTTGGTCAAGCTTCCCCGTTTAGTGCTAAAGAAGGCTGGCGTGGAGACAAGCCATCACATAGGAAAAAAGCCCTACCACTAAGCCTTCTTTTCTCAAAATTCCCTCGAAAACATGTGCCATATAAATACATGACCTCAGTTATAAACAGCCATGCTCCCTTTAGAATCAGAAGCAACTGTTTAACTTTATTAGGCACCATTGACACATCAAAGCAAGAGGCCCTGAGCTCGGCAACTTGGAGTTCTGCCTGTGGCTCTTTATTTTCCTTTCCTTTTTTTTTTTTAAATGAAGCCTTTAAAAAAGAGAGAAAGAGCTTTATGCCCCGTATAGGTTAAAGGCTGCACCAGTCTGGCTCGCTCTCTGAAGGTCTCCAACCCAAAGGAGCGTGTTGGGGCAGCGTTCGACACTGCACTGCCTTGGTTTCCTGTGCAGTTATGAGTCATGAAATGATGGTCACACGAAACAGCGCACAGCAGTAGTTCCTTACCCTGCTGTGTCCAGGCCTGGCCCACCTTTATTGAGGCTGCATTTCTGTGATGAAGGTTTTATGAAACTCGCAGCTAGAAAATTAGTAAAGATTGCGCTTGTCCATTCAGCAAGAGATAGCTTGGCTGGGCCTGTAATGAGCGCTCAGGGAGCTCTTGAGGCAAAGTCGGGATCCGGGCGAACGAGAAAGCCCGGAGAGGAAGGTGGGCATGAGTAAGTCATTACCTAGCTGTCAATAGTAAGTGGATTTTATAGCTCCCCTTTCTTGAGGGCGCTTAAACTCCAAGTTCTCTCTGCCGTGCCGATCTGTTTTCGATTACTTCAGATCTTTATAAAATGAGCTACAAAAACACAATTTTTAAAAAAAGAAACACTGGCATCCATCACTGGTGACCACGTCCAAGAGTAAGAAAATAGAAAAGTTGGACCCTGAAGAGCCAGCCTAATTTTTATTGTACATGAATGTCCTCTTCACAGAAAGTCAGCTGGTTTAGATTCGTTCTGTTATGATTTGTAATATCTAAATGGAATTTTCTTCAAAGCGCCCTTGATTGATTGACCCTGAGCTGAACGTTTTGTTTTTATTTTGAGGCTGACAATAATGTTTGTTGGCATGTGCTCTGCTTCAACTGTGTGGGGACGCCACGGAGCTATCTTTATGAGTCATCCAACCACAATACTAAATACATGTCAGCAAAGGAAATATTATCTGAAAAGGGAAAAATCCCTTTGATGTGCTTCAGCATGCAGAGATTTCTGCGAGTTTTGGAAGCTCTGCCCGCTTGTAAGGAACGGTGTACGCTTACACTTTTTTTCCCCCCTCCCCTTTCGGCCGACTCCGTGCCTCCGAGGACCACCCATCGCTCGAAAACAGTTCTGCTCTTTCAGCGGCAAAGTGTGTCATTTGGTTTTAGCACATTCATTTGCCGGGCGCTGTGTTTATATTAAGGGAAGCCAAACCGAGAGATGAAATGTTACAAGGGTGAAGTACAAAGTAGACTCAATTTTTCTCAAGTTAGGAGATGCCAGTGATTTATAGCTCGGCTCCAATTTTGATTTTTTTTTTTATGTAGCAGTGGAAAGAATTAATAAAATGCACAGCGCTCGGGGATGCAGAGGGAGGAAGGGTAGCGAGGGCCGGACAACTGGCTGGAGTTTTTGTCAGATATTCATAGAATGTTGGGGAAAAACATTCTGCTTAGCTAGCAGTGCCCTCGTGAGACAGAATGGCAGCAAGTAAGGAAAATAACAAGATAAATGAAATTTTTGCAGCTGCAAGTAAAATATTGAGAATCTGCACTTTTTTATTGATCTTTATGATCCTATTGCCAAGAGCCACTTTGTGGTGACAAAATATGTTGACAAGTGCATATCTCACTGCTATGAAAAATGTGGTGAAGGATTCGCCTTCTGTCTGCAGTGTTGTACAAGGAACAAATTGCCTGCTACAGCCCATTCCTTACAGAGAGGCTACGGTGAAGGCCCACCAACCCTCAACGCTTTTATCTGGAACTGGAGGCTAATATTTGCAGCAATTCTTCATTGAGAAAACCAGTTGCGGTCTCATTTTTTAAAAAAATCTGTAGATTTTTCTTTGCAGTACCAAAGCTGTGTAAAATAATGTTTCTTTCTTGGTACCTTCACTCTATCATTTCAGAGTGTAATCTTTCCACCTGAGTCAAGTGCTTCTCTCGTATTTATCGAATTGCCATCCATTTCACAGAAGAGGGGGTTTCTCTTCCCCCGCATCTAACTTTAGAAGGAAGGCGATGGGAGGGGGACTTTTATTTCTCTCAATCCTTACATCACAGAGCTGCTTAATTTTATTACAAATTTGTGAACTCCCAATGCCAAGTTGCAAGAATACACGTAATGCTTTTCCTTCAAATAAGAAATCAATAGTGTTAATTTATATACAAGGTTGAGGCACCAGTGTCTGCAATTTGCCAAGAGAGAGAATTTTCTCATCAGTGTGAGATGGAATTCTTTTTTAAAAAATGAACCCTTCCTTTTTGCTGTCTCCCGGGCCAAATATCAGTCTCCTCAGCCAAGACGCTGTAGGAAGGGACCCTGTGGAAATAAACTGTGAGCTGTTTATCATACTGGGTTACAGGCTTTCATTGGCTGCTGGGAACAATAAGGTGGGTGCTGATTTTATTGCAAGCATTAACTGTGTAGGTGGAGATGGACAGAAGTTTTTGGGGGCAATGAGAATGTGATGGGGGCACATGAGTGCTACATGTTACTAAGCTGGGTTTTCTTTTGTTTTGAATAGGTCGAATATATTCTACCGAGCCTGTATAGATATCCCCAGGGGCACCGAGCTTCTGGTGTGGTACAATGACAGCTATACGTCTTTCTTTGGGATCCCCTTACAATGCATTGCCCAGGATGAAAACTGTAAGAATTTATTTTAGCTCTGAATTTACACCTCAAAATCCCTATTGTAAAGCTGACGTTGTAGAGTGTTGTTTGAAACTCCTGAAACATGCGGTTCACTCTGCTATATGACACAAACGTGCACGGTCTGTTCCATCACTTTCTTTTCCCTGTGTGTCCTTGGCTTTTTCGCAGGGCATCTTGCCTTATACAGGGCAATCCTTCTGTGCCTGGTAACAATGTCAAAACGTATGTCAGAGTTTCACATAATCGCCGGCAGCAATGTTCGGGCAGCTGGGAGTTACTGAGCGCCCACTGTGTGTCTGGTTCTGTGCTTGCCACCTTGCAGGGTACCTTGTAAGGTACAACTTCTGCTCCCAAGGGATGTGCAGTCCTGCTGCGTCACCCTCCCTGCAGAAATGAGAGAATGAGAAAGCAAGGCCCGCTCAGCAGGACTAGCACCCCACCAGTCCATGGCGTGTGCTTTCTCCTAAGTGGTCACTGCAAGGAGAAATGATGGTAAAAATCGTAGACCTATGACTGAGGAATGTGTGTCCCTCTACATTTCTTAGCCTGAATGAACCATGTAATGTTCTTCTATCCTTCTTGCCAGGGCAGCCATTATCTTCTTAAAAAGAATCTAATATCTAAGCAAATGCAAACTTGCAGCAATTTCCATTTAAACTTTATATCGGTGCTTTATCAATTCTTTGGAAAATATTTTAAGGTGATTTTCAGTATTTGAAACAGAATTGGGTAATTCTGATGACCTTCAGTGAGAAACACTGGTTTCAATGATGCTATTTTCTTTCTTGTCCCAAAATTGACTAATCTGTGAACTGATCCTTTGGGATTATGCAACAGAAAAAGAAGCCGAGAGAATAGATCTATTCAAGAAACTTTATTTTGAAAACAAGTTTTATGTTACTTTATCCTTCTCCACTTAACTTTCTCTCTCACCCACACAAACGCCACCCCCCGCCCCAAAATGTTAACATTACTACTGAACAAAATGCTGATGATCAGGTATTTCTTTTCCATGTTGCCTTTATTTTCTTTGTGAAAAATAGAATCCTCAGAAGGCGTATTACTATCAACATTCCTTTTCTACTTGAACCCAAAACCATTCTCAAATCAAAACATGAATCTTTGGACATATAGTACATTCCTCCGTCTTCCCAAGTTTCCATTGGAAAGTTTCTTTCCTGCAGTGATACCCCAGTTTGAAGGAGTGTGTGTTTGCATAAAATAAAATCTCAGTGTTGGACATGAGTGTGTGGTTGGTGTTAGAGGCAGATAGGGGCATGGAGGCCAGTACGCTCTCTCATCCCAGAATGGCCCCAGCTTCCCTAGCACTAGCTCTAGGTCCCTGGACAGAAAAAGCACCAGTATCAGACCCCCAAACCCCCACCCTGACCCGACCTGCTGGCATGAGCCTGTCTGTACGTAGAGCCTTGACATAACCTCACTTTCTGAAATACCGCATTTGATCCAAAAGGATTCCAGAAGTCCTTTAATAAAACCTGCTACAAACTCTGAAGATGTTATTATGATATGTGTGTTGAAGATTATCTGGGAATAAACAGCAAAGCCTAGAGTTCTAAAATACATAGCCCCATAGTCCAACTAGCCATTTGTTTGCTCATTCGTTCATTCATTCGTTGTTCAGAGATTTACTGAACACCTACTATAGGCCAGTGTCTTTGCTAGGTGCTGCAAATACAGCAGTGGACAAAATAGACAAGAATTCCTGCCTTCATGGAATGTTCCTTCCTGTGGAGGGAGACAGATTATGAACAAATAAAGGAGTTAATAAATAGTTTGTCAGGTGGTGATAAGTGTTGTAGAGATAACAAGACAGAGAAGGGGCAAGGAGTGCCAGGAGTTGGGAATCACAGTTTTAGAGAGTGATCAGGGTGGTTCCTACTGGAAATGTGACCTTTGGGATGAGACGTAAGGAGGTGAAAGGACAAGTGTTACTGGGGAGAAGAGTGTTCCAAGGCAGGCTGTCCAAGAGCGCAAGACCCCGAGATAGGACTGTTCCTGGCTTGTTGGAAGAGCATCACAGGTTGGTGTAGATGTTTGGGAGTGAGAGAGATAGAGAGAAGTTAACTTAGGTATTGGGGGGAGGTGGGGCTTGTAGGGCCAGGAGGCCACTGTCTGGGCCCTGTATTTTACTGTGTAGGCCATTGCAGAGTTCTGAGCAGAAGAGTGATACGATCTGACTGAGGTTGTAACAGGATGACTCTGGCTACTGCGTGGAGACAGTGAGGGGTGAGGGTGGAGCAGGAATTCAGGGGAGAGATGATGTAGTGTAGAGCAGTGTAGATGTGGTGGAGGTGGTGAGAAGTGGTTGGATTCTGGATATATTTCTATTTGTTTGTTTTTTGTTTGTTAATCCTCACCCGAGGATATTTTTCCATTGATTTTTTTATTTTTTAGAGAGAGTGGAAGGGAGCGGGGGAGAGAAAGTGAAACATAGATGTGAGTGAGACATATTGCGTGGGTGCCTCCTGCTCATGCCCCGACCAGGACCAGGGATCAAACCTGCAATTCAGGATTGACCCGGAATTGAACCTGCAACCTTTTGGTCCTTGGGCCAACAACACTTGCTGACACCTTGGATGCTGAGTAAGAGAGAAAGGAGTCAAGACAATTCCAAGGCTTTGATCTGAGCCACTGGAAGGATGGAATGGCCATTGACTGAGTTATTTAGTTAGAAAGGAAAAGTGCCATGGAACGATGACTTAGGGGATGCATTTCTTACCCTTGACATGGATCTTTGGGGTGTAAGTCACACATCTACAACATTGCTTCCGCTTCATGACTTTGTTACATGATGAGAGAGACTTAGAGGTTGGGCTGGAGGATTCCTGTGTACTGTTCACAGCCACCTGAAAATCGGTGTCTGAGAGCATACCTTGTGGTCTTCAGATTCAATACCATCAAAAAATGTACTTTCTGGAAACACCATTTGCTTTGCTTTTCAGTTCTTCCTTCTCCTAGAGTCCAACCCGGTTGAAGCTTTGCTGACTAGAGTATTGAATAAACTCTACCAGGGCATATGTTTTATCATTTAGCACCTGAAATCCTCGGAAGAAAATCCACAAAACCACAGCAGCTTGAAGTATTGTGGATTCAGTAGGTAAACTAAGCAGCTCTTTTGGGTCGAGTTTAAGCTCTAACTGAGGGCGGAGGGAACTTTAAAAGGAATTAAGTCACTGACTAAAATGCTCAACAGTGACAATCCCCTTTCCCCCTAAGGGTATTATAGGAATTTTATTTCAGTTCCTGTCTCATATAGCTGTCATGTGACTGGCCACCCAAGAAACCAGCAGAAAGCTGCATCAGAGAGTGTGGGGGAGATAGATATATGACTTTGACTCTAACTCGAAGGTGGATTCTCATTCCATGTGACTCAGTGAGGGACCTGGGAATGCTTATACTGAGGACTCCTTATTCTGTACTGAGAAAATACTCTGTGTGATTTAAAAGCACAGATGTGGGGAAATGCCTGGGCAGGTAATGTGACAGATCAGCTTCCTCAGCACTGAGAAATTTAATCTCAACTGGATCAGCAAACATAAGAATTTTTATTTTGAGTTAGTCACAAAATAAATGAAGGGACTTAAAAAATGCTTCTTGCCCTGACGGGGTAACTCGGTTCGGTTAAGGCATTGTCCCTATATTCCAAGGTTGCGAGTGCAATCTCAGTCAGGGCACATACAAGAACCAAGCAATGAATGCATAAATAAGTGAAAAAACATATTGATGTTTCTCTCTCTGTCTCTCTTCCCCCCCTTCCTCTCTCTCCAAAATCAATTTAAAGAATTGTTCTTAACAAAAGCTTCTTGCGATCAAAAACTTGACAAAATGCCTCCACAGAGCCTCCTCATAGTGCTGTGCACACAGCACACAATTAATACATGCTCACTGGATAAATATGGAGAATCTGATTGCCATTAAATATCTGGGGATTAAATATTTCAGCCAGATTTTTCTTTGTTAATGAAATTGATATTTGGCCCAAGACATTAAAGGAAAATATGATTTTGCTCAGTGCATAGTACTGGTTAAGCACTTTCATTTATAAAAATATCATTTTCTTCCCATGGTTCTTTCAACATGGAAAGTACACATTTCCTATGGAGCGTGTGCGGTGGGTTCAGGCCCGAGTAACCGCCCCCCTGGCAGTGGCCGTGAAGCCGTGGGGCACACGCACTGCCCGGACAAGCCACTGAAAGCCGCCTCGCCTCAAAGAGAAGGCAGCGTTTCACACAGGCACCTGGGTTCTGGAAGCAATCCCTGTGTTATTTTCTTTTTAAAAAGCCATCGTTTTAAATGTAACAGAGCTCCAACGAGAGAGCCGCTGCATGGACTGCGGGCCCTTCAGGAGAGCCTGAAGGAACGCCTATGTCGACAGATTGCATCCACGAGAAGGAGCGAGGTGCCCCAAGTTTCCAGTGGGGATTAGCTCCTGCGGAGTGTAAAGACCATGGCGTGTTCATATTCATTTCAGAGGAAATTAAAAAAAAAACCTGGGGATAAATGTCAAACAAGTCTTCCTGCTGCTTTCCCTGCCTCGGCCGATGAAGCTGAGGTAGCAGAATGTGAAACTTGAGGGCAACGCGGGAGTTGCCAGCACTGGAGTGAACTCTGCCTCCGGGAGGCCGGCCTTTGTCTTTTGATTTTAAAGAGCAGAAAGTAAAAAGGGGCACCCCTGTGTAGTGCTCCCCACCCTCACTATCCCTCCAATAATGAAAAACCTCGGCCCCGGGATAAAGAAGGTCCTACTTAAGCTTTATATCCATGAACGTGGAGGAGATTGCAGTATAGTCCCATCCAACAAGAACATCTGTGCAAGGGCCCATGGGAAGCACATGCAGACCCTCTCCTTACGGACTCAGTCTAGGACAGTGATGGCGAACCTTTTGAGCTCGGCGTGTCAGCATTTTGAAAAACCCTAACTTAACTCTGGTGCCGTGTCACATATAGAAATTTTTTGATATTTGCAACCATAG